GCTAAACTAGGTGGACAGCAAAATTGGCCAGAGATATTCCATTCCATATATCTATGTAAGCTCAGAGGAAGGTCAGAGATCACAAAAAACAACTTCCTTCCTGCTTCTTCTCTCCTTCTTTTTCCATCCATGGCCAGCATCCGGGGAGCACCCTGTCTGTCCATCCGTCCATCACTGTCGACCCCCAGGCTGTGCATTTTCTGACCCTCATCACTCTCCCCTCAGCTCCTGGCTGCTCTGCCCTCTCTCCAGCAGCTCTGGGACATTTTGGGGCTGCTCACAGCTCAGGAGATGCCAGGGGAGCTGCTGGGGGTGGGGGGAGGCAAGAGGGGTTTGCACATTCCTGAACACATATTTATTTTATAATTAGTGTTTAATTAAAGCTGTCTAGTTTAGTTTTCCATCCAGAAATGTCTCTCTCATTCTCTCTCCTTCCTTAGCTGGATGGGAGGGGGAGGGGATCCAGAGCGTTGTTGTCTCTGGTTTAATCACCAATCCTGAGTCAAACCGACATCAGGCAACCACAGGGGAGCACCAACTCCACAGGGGGAGTTCAACCCCCCTTAATCAGAAATTAATTGAATGCCTTTAAACTCACTGGGGCTCTTGCTCTGAGCTCTTCAGTCTGTGGATTGGAGGAACTCCCTGAGAATTCCTCAGCACCTGCTGGGGGTCCTACCATCCCAGGATCCAGGTTCAGAAGCAGTGTCACCTCTGGGTCACCAAGATGTTACCATAAGCGTTTTTTTAGTGCATTCTGGATGCATGTGGAATAGCTTCCCAAGTCATGCATCAATCCCATTGACAACGTTTAGCTTGTATAGACCTTTTGATCACAGTTCTCAGGGAAAAAAAGGAAAGTATTTTAAAGTTGATTGCAGTATTTCATTTTCATTACACGTGTGCAATAGATGGCTAAAAAAAATATAAAAATAAAACCTTTCCAGGAAAGATCTGATGGTCTCTGGTGCCCCTTTGTGGTTGTCAGAGGGGCATTTTCTTGTGACCTTTAACTGAACCCACGTACTTTGTGCCCAAATGTAGACATTGCTCAGTGAAGGGGCCAAGTTTCCCAGCCAGGCACAACAAGTTTTACCATTATCTCTGCCCTATGAACTGGGCAGACTTAACATCGACACCTGTTGGTGCTCTTGGTACAACAATTCTGGGGCCCTATTACTTGCCCAGGAACGCAGGACCAAGATGCCACAAAACACAACTTCAGCCCAGTAATCTCCTCTAAACAAGTCTATTCTCACAAGACAGATTCACTCTGGTCAGTTTCCAAGAGGCCTAATTCTACCTTAACATTTCTATTACATTTATCGGTATCAGTTCCACCCTCATAGGTGAGGGAAGTTGCTAGAAGAGAACATGATAAGATGCTTTGGGGAATAGAGGATTTGGTGAAACACCTTCAGAAAACGATTATGAGCAGAGCTATGATAGAAAATCTTTGGTCCATCACAGAAAAACATGAAATTTGTCTTAGAAATAACCTGAATGCTAGCAATAAACTGGTTTTTGGGGTTACCAGAGGAGGAAATTCTCCTGAAGGTTGCTGTCAAATGGATCTCACCGGGCTGCCTGGAAAATGGGGGTATCCATGTATTTTGGTTCTGGTTGATACTTTTCCCGGATGGCCAAAAGCAGTAATAAGGCAAAGGAAGTAGTTAAAATGATGCTAAAAGAGATCATCCCACCATTCGGGGAGGTAATCAAATAATGGGCCTCATTTTACCACTGGAATAGTGAAACAGCTGACCAAAGCTTTGTCCATAGTCTGGGACTATCACACCCCTTATAGACCACAATCCAGCGGTAAAGTGGAGTGAATGAATGATGCCCTCAAACAGCAGCTTGAGAAAACTTGTCAGGAAGCATCCCTGACCTGGGATACATCTCTGACCCTACCCATAGCATTGCTGAGGGTCAGAATTCAGCCTCATGGAAATCTGAGTCCATGTGAGTTATCCTATGGATGACAGTACCATCCCCCCACATGTGCCATGTGCCACTCGTATCACGGGAGAGCTAAATTTAATCATTTATGTCAGATCTCCTGGGAACACTTTACAGAAGCTCCATATATATACCACAGCAAATAGACCTCTGGACCTCCACACACCAGCACATCCTTTCTAACCTGGAGACTGGGTCTACATCAAATCACAGAACATGCAACCTTTGAGAGAGAAGTGGAAAGGACCATTTCAAGTTCTGTTATCCACCTACCAGTTAAGGCTTGGGGAAAAGGCCCATGGACTCACTATTCAAGGATCAAGAAGGCTCCCACTCCATGGGTAGTGGAGCAGCAGTCTCCCCTCAAATTGAAATTAAAAGGATCATGATTTGGTTTCATGCTTGGTCTGTGACAATTACGATAGCCATGAGTCAAGTAGGGCAAATGCATTGGGGCCAAAATTTCCACTTGATGTGAGTCCAAAATCTTACACAAGGGCTTGCATAGGCAGATCAAAGCAACATAATTTCCACAAATTTGGCAGAAAGTTTGGAAGAGACAAAGACCCTGCACCAGGTTCCCAAGGATGATATGCCCTGGGGATGTGAAGAATTGTGGCTCAAACTTACCTGATGGCTACGGAATGGGGCATGGTTGAGAAACCTGTTTGTAAGAGCAGTGGCATTTTGCATTTGTGTCTTTGCTTGCAGTATGAGCCAGTGTTACAGCTGTTGTAGTCAAGTCTACAAAATAGGGTCTGGGTTCTGAGAATTGAGACCTGGGGTTTGTAAGTGTGAAGTCTCATGAAAAGGGGGAGGTTGATTCCTGTGCACTAAGGCCTGCAAGCTGGGGGGCTGTAACAACAGGTGACAAGAGGAGCATTTCACAATGATGTGCCTGGTTCTCTCTTGTTGAGCAGTTTTGTTAGGAGATATCCATCGGGAAAAGGAATGTGCACAGTCATTCCCAGGAATCTGATGCGTGTGGATATTGATGAGCTATATAAGCTTTCCCTGTTGCCACGTTAGGAGGAACGATCCCCCGCACGTCCAGCACTGTAAGAAATAATGCCTGCCTGCTGGCACTTCAAGTGGCAGAGGATTCTTCATGCGTCTGGATTTTATGATAATCTGTGGGACACCAGGCTGTGTCATGGATGGGGAGGGGACACATCCCACCTCGCTGGTGCCCACCCAACCTCAGCACAACGCCTGGAGAGAAGGGGCTGGGCAATCGGTGCTTTCAGCTGGAAAGGCAGGAGCACAACGACCAACCCGCCACTTCCCCACCGAAGGTTCTTCTTGCTCCTTCCTTTGCATCTCAGCCCCGCGCTGCTCCTTGCCCTGGGTTTGCTGGGACAGAATTAATGACAAAATCATTGTTTTCTCTTCAGAGGAGCCGTGTGTTTGGGAGGCTGCAGAGCCCAACTCTGCGGGAACGTGGGGGATCAGAGGGGTTGGGTTGGGTTGTTCCCAGCTCTGGGGTGTGGGTGTCACGGGGACCAGGGGGCAAAGGCCAGAGCAGCTGGTTTGGGTGTGAAGGAAACATGTCCCACCTCCTGCCATGGGCAGGGACACCTCCCACCGGAGTTGTCAGGGATGGGGACATGATGGCAGAGAGTTTGGGGACAATCACACAGCAGAAGAGGCTTATTTAGGGACACAGCACCACCAGAGGTAGAGGTGCAGAGGAGGGGGGGCTGGGGGAGGAATGACCCACCAAGGGGAGTCACAGGGACAGTGAGGGTGCTCCCAGGGGTGTACCTTGGGTGTCCAGGGTGTCCTGAGAGTCTCACCGCCCCCAAATGTAGTCTGTCCCCTCTCAAGGTTCCTGTGGGGTCTCCCAGGAGTCATAAGGGGCCCTGCCCCAACACAGCTCCACGTTCTCAGGGGTCACACACTGCTAGTTCCTAGGCCTCCCATGTGAGTCTCCCCAGTGGTTAAACACTAATGTCTTTAAGAGGGGCTGTTGGGGAGGGGGTCATCAAGAAGCCTTGCACTCCACAGATGCTTTCAGAGCTCCTGAAAATCCCAAATTAGGGGAAATATTGTCTAATGCCCCCTCTCCCCCAAGCCAGCAAGACAATGGGGGGCAAGCCCCCCACTTTACCACTGACTTGTGGTGGGGAGCATCACTGCACCCCCGGGAGGGACATGGGGGGTATTTTTGGGGAGAGGATCCCAACCTCCCAGCAACTAGAGGTTTCTCCATCACTTTGCACCCCAAGAGCCACAAGGGATTTACTTGTCACCACTTTATAGCACTTTATTATTTTAACAATCGAACATAACCCCAAATGGCTTGAGCCTCAAGTTAGGGGTGTGTGTGTGTGTGTGTGTGTGTGACCAGTTTTCCAGCCACCACAGTCAGACATTGAAGAGCAGAAACCTATTTTGTGTTCTAAACCATTCCAAAAAAAAAAAAAAAAAAAAAGCATCCTAGAGGAAAAAGGCATTTTTCACATTCATATGATCCAATCCCACCACGTTGCCCATTTCCTTGCAAATCCTCTCACAAACTCACCTTAATACACTCTATATGGATTTCAGCCCTGCTGTTAAAAAATAGACCTATCCCACCATATTCCTTCGACCCTTGAAGAGGGTGTCACCATGATAAAGACTTCATTTTGGTAAAAAAGCCCCCTAAAGATGATGAAAAAAAAACTGAAACGTTGGATGGGACATTAAGTGGTTCCTGAGCTGATGCCATTTTACGGTCCACACGAAGCATCACTGGAGGGACAGAGCTTGGGGTGACCTTGACTGTGCCCCTTCATTTTTGGTGATCCCTGAGGTGGGTCCGGCTATGACGCATGAGATGTGTCCTCTGGTAAAACCTCTTCTCACACTGGGAGCAGCTGAAGGGCCGTTCACCCTGATGGTGCCGTTGATGTATCCATAAGGAGGAGCAGTTTCTGAAGCTCTTCTGGCACTGCAGACAAGTGTAGGGTTTCTCTCCCGTGTGGATGCGATTATGCTTGATCAGTGCAGAGCTCCAGGCAAAGCTCTTCTCACAGTCAGGGCACTTGTAGGGTTTCTCGTCTGTGTGGACCCAGAGGTGAGAGCTGAGGCCCGTGCTGCTCCTGAAGCTCTTCCCACAATGGGGACACGTGTAGGGTTTCTCTCCTGTGTGGATGCGGTGATGGTCGATGAGAGCAGAGCTCCTGGCAAAGCTCTTCTCACAGTCAGGACATTTGTAGGGCTTCTCACCTGTGTGGACCCGGAGGTGAGAGTTGAGGCCTGTGCTGCTCGCGAAGCTCTTCCCACACTGGAGACACGTGTAGGGTTTTTCCCCGGTGTGGACACGTTGGTGACGCATCCATGTGCTGCTGCTGCGAAAGCTCTTCCCACACTGAAGGCACTTGTAGAACTTCTCACCCGTGTGGATCTGGTGATGCCGGCGTAACGTGGAATTGTGTGCAAAGCTCTTCCCACACTCCAAACACCTGAAAGGTTTCTCGCCCGTGTGCATTCGCTGGTGCTGGATTAATTGTGATCTACTGAGACAACGTTTTCCGCAGTGGTGGCAGTCGCAGGACATGGCACTAGGGCGAGATAGTCACTGTGGGACCAGACACGAGGTGGCTCCAAAAGGGCCACTCCTATAGGGCTCCTCACTTTTACGGATGTTCCAATGGTGGAGATGGGTTTGGGGGATCCCGACCCTTTCCCACGTCCCTCAGTACAGGCAAGTTCTCCCACGTGAATTCGATGATGTTTCACGAAGGTTGAGCCATGAACAAAAAGCTTTCCTGCCCTTGGGGAACCCAGAGGGGTTTTCACCCAGATGGATGGATCCTACAATGGGTCAATAAAGCTGGATTTTGGTTCAAACCATGTCCACCCTCAGGGCACTTCCAGGATTTTCGGCAGGGAGGGATCACATCAAACCTGCTCTGGGAGAAAATGGAGTGTAAGGTGAAATGGCAGGGTTACCCATGGATTTGGTCAATCCCCTATCCTTTAGTGGGATTTAGGGGCTACACTGGCACCCCAAAACAACAAGGTGGGGGGACACTGATGGAGGGGGATCTTTGGTGGGTGCTGGGAGTCTCAGCCACCACTGGGATGAGTTGGGGTTCTCCCATTGCTCCCACTTTCCATGAGATGATTCAGGCGTCCTCCCATTGCAGCAACCCCACCCCTGGGATGGTTTGGGGTGGAGAACTCAGTGATGAGCAATGAGAGCAGCGGTGGGAGCAGAGATACCAAGAGTGGAGAGGAAGGAGGGGCAGGAGGTGCCCGAGCAGAGGTTCCCCTGCCATCCCTTGGTGAGATGGCAGCTGTCCCCTGCAGCTGTGGAGGAAAACAGTGGGGCAGATGTGGATCTGCAGCCATGGAGGATCCCTTGCCAGGGGAGGTGACTGTGCCTGAAGTAGCCTGTAGGTCTGTGGGCAGCCCATGTTGGAGCATCTATTCCTGAGGGGGAACAGGGAGGGACTCCTGTCGGAGGGTTGCTGAAGGACTCTCTCCCGTGGCAGGGACCCCGCGCTGGAGCAGGGGAAGGCTGTGAGGAGTCCTCCCCATGCCGGGGAAGGAGCAGCTGGAAACAGCGAGTGACCAAGTGGCCGGAAAGCCCCTTCCCTGTCCCCCTGTGCCGCTGGGGGGAGGAGGGACAGCAACGGGGAGCAAAGTCATTTGGGGCCGGGAAGCAGGGACGGGAGGGGTGAGGTGTATCAGCTCTGGTCTGTGTCCTGTTTGCACCTTGTGAGTGATAAATCAAATTGATTTTTTCCTCAAGTTGAGTCCATTGTGCCTGTGACCACAATTGGTGAGCGAACCCTCCCTGTCCTTATCTGGACCCATGAGCTGTTAGCTGGGTTTTCTCCTCCCCATACCACAGTGGGGTGAGGGGTGAGTGAGCAGCCACCTGGTTCTTTGTTGTCCATCAGGCCCAAACCAGGACACATGCAAAGGGGAAACTGGGCATCTCCCCACCTTTACAAGCTCATTCATAAACATCATTAGTCTGCTAGGAACCAATCAATACACTAAGTCCCACCTCATCAACAGGTCTTGTCCTTTGGAACCTTAAAGCTCATCCAGTCCCAAACCCCTGCATAGACAGGGACACCTCCCACCAGACCAGTTTGCTCCAAGCCCCATCCAACCTGCCCTTCAACACTGCCAGGGATGGGGCAGCCACAGCTTCTTTGGGCAACCTGGACCAGGGTCTCACCACCCTCACAGCAAAGCATTTCCTCCTAAGATCACAGAATCATAGAATGCACTGGCTTGGAAGGGACCTTTAAAGGCCATCTAGCCCAGCCCCCCTGCAGTGAGCATCTATTTTAACAGCTGACTACACCACCTGAAACACCACTACCAAACAGAGCAAAGGCACATCAAGTCTGTCACCACAGTGTCTCCAAACAACAGTGCTGGTGACAAAAGTTGTGTATCTCATCCCCCTGATTTGTAAGAATTGTTGCTAGAATCTTCAGAGGCTTTTCTTCCTTCCTGCCCTTGGGAAGAGTCCACAGCTTTTTGCCCTTTAATTCTCTTTGGTAGAAATGGGAGGGCTCTTCAAAACGAAGGAGCTTAGGCAAAGACTTTATTTCACACCTGTGAAATCCTGGATGTAAGAGCCTGGAGGAGGGAAGACTCTCCACTGGTCAATGGCGATTAGATCATAGAATCATAGAATCATAGAATCCTAGGGGTTGGAAGGGACCTCGAAAGATCATCTAGTCCAACCCCCCTGCCAGAGCAGCTTACAGTAAAAAAATTTTTTCGGATATTCACCTTGAACCTCCTATGCTCCAATTTACACCCATTACCCCTTGTCCTATCACTGGTCATCACTGAGAAAAGCCTAACTCCATCTCCCTGACACTCACCCCTTACATATTTGTAAACATTGATGAGGTCACCCCTCAGTCTCCTTTTCTCCAAGCTAAAGAGACCCAGCTCCCTCAGCCTTTCCTCATAAGGGAGATGTTCCACTCCCCTAATCATCTTCGTAGCTCTGCGCTGGACTCTTTCGAGCAGTTCCCTGTCCTTTTTGAACTGAGGGGCCCAGAACTGGACACAATACTCCAGATGTGGCCTCACCAATGCAGAATAGAGGGGGAGGAGAACCTCTCTTGACCTACTAACCACACCCTTTCTAATGCACCCCAGGATGCCATTGGCCTTCTTGGCCACAAGGGCACATTGCTGGCTCATGGTCATCCTCCTGTCTACCAGGACCCCCAGGTCTCTTTCACCTACACTACTCTCCAGCAGTTCAGCCCCCAACCTGTACTGGGACATGGTGTTGTTCTTCCCCAAATGTAAAACTCTGCACTTCCCCTTGTTGAATTTCATCATGTTTCTCCCCGCCCAACTCTCCAACCTATCTAAGTCTCTCTGAATGGCAGCACAGCCTTCTGGTGTGTCAGCCACTCCTCCCAGCTTAGTGTCATCAGCAAACTTGCTGAGGGTACATTCTATACCCTCATCCAGGTCGTTGATGAAGATGTTGAACAACACCGGTCCCAGTACCGACCCCTGAGGGACTCCACTAGTCACACACCTCTAAACAGATTCTGCCCCATTGACTACAACTCTCTGACTCCTTCCTTTCAACCAGTTCCTAGATAGATGTGGTTTAGACGTGGTTTAGATGAGAGATCAGTTATGTAAACTGAATGTACACAAATCCGTGGGCCCTGATGAGGGGCATCCATGAGTGCTGAAGGAGCTGACTGATGTTGTTGCTCTACCACTCTCCACCATTTTCAGAAGGTCACGGCAAAAGGAAGTGGTGCCTGAGGACTGGAGGAAAGCCAATGTCACTTCAGTCTTCAAGAAGGATGATCCAGGAAACTACAGACCAGTCTGCCTCACCTCCATCCCAGGAAAAACGATGGTGCAGCTCATGCTGGTGCATCTCTAAGCACAGTGGAAGAAAAGAAGGTTATCGGGATTAGCCAGCATGGATTCGCCATGGGGAAATAATGTCTGATTCATGGGACAGCCTTCATTATGGTGTGACAGAATGGACAGGTGCAGGGAGACCAGTGGGTGTGTCTACCTTGACCTTAGCAAGGTTTCTGACACTGTCTCCCACAACATCCTTGTGAGGGAGCTCAGGAAGTGGGGGCAGAAGAGTGGACAGTGAGCCCACAATAGAGCCCAGAGTGTAGTGATCAGTGGTGCAGAGTCCAGTTGGAGACCTGTAACTAGTGGAGCTCCCCAAGGGTCAGTACTAAGTCTGGTATCATTTAACATCTTCATCAATGACCTGGATGAGTGGGCAGATACAAAACTGGGAGGAATGGCTGATCCACCTGAAGGCTGTGCTGCCATTCAGCGAGATCTGGACAGACTGGAGAGGTGGGCAAAGAAGAACCAAATGAGGTTCAACAAGAAGTGCAGAATCCTGCACCTGAGGAGGAATAACACCAAGTACCAGTACCAATTAGGAGATGACCTGTTAGAAAGCATCTCCATGGAGTCCTGGTGGACAACAAGTTATCCATGGGGGACCAACGTGCCCTTGTGGCCAAGAAAGCCAGTGGTATCCTGGGGTGCAATAAGAAGCTTGTGTCCAGCATGTCGTGGGTGTGCCCTGGTTTGAGCCAGGATGAAGTCAATTTTCCTTTTACTGACTTTTTTTTCCTTTGGAGAGCAGCAGCAAGTTTTGCAGCTGTGGGCTGATAATGTTTATTTTGCTGCTGGGACTTCAAGGTCACTTTGCTCTGCTTGTAGAAACTGCAGCCTCAGATGCTAAGGGAGCAGAGGAGTTGAATCTACAGACCCTCCTGTAGGGAGGAGTGGGCTAGAGGACAGCAACATTGACCAAAGTGTGACATTCCATCTATCCACCTGGAAGAGGAAGGACAGATAGCACAGAAGACAAATTCCTCCCTGCTGCTTCTTCCCTTCTCCTCCACCCATGGCTGGGGAGGACTCCGTCCATCCCTCCCCGGGGACCCCCAGGCTCCAGCTCTCCTGACCCTCATCACTCTGCGCTTTCTCCAGCAGCGCTTTGGGATTTTTCGGGGCTGTTCCCAGCTCAGCAGATGCTGTGGCAGTTGCTGGGCTGGGGGGAGGTGAGAGGCTTTTGCCCATATCTGAACATAGTTGTATATATTTTCTTTTACCGTTAGTGTTTGATTAAAGCTGTGTAGTTCAGTTTTCAACCCAGCCAAGTCTCTCTCTTTTTCTCTCTCTCCTTCCCTACCTGGGTGGGAGGGGGAGGGGATCGAGAGCGTTGTTGTAGATTCTGACCCAAATGGTGACAAAAGCACTTCTGCACGACAAGCCTGCTGTGCTAGCAGAGACTCAGCAAGGGTTTTCCAGCTGCTTCCTGCTGGTAGAAACAAAGGATGGAGCCAAGTAGAGTTTAGACTGATGGCCCCGGGGTACGGGCTGGAAGGAAAGCACAGCCCTGAAACTGCAGGGGTGGCCCTGATGTCTGTTATTCATATAATGAGTAAATAAGTAAAATGTGGGGGGGGGGAGAAGAATCACATGTGGGAACAAAATGACATAGCGGAGCAGGCACACGCCCCGCCGGGGGCCCGTGAAGCAGCGGAACCGCCGGGCGGAGCA